TTTCCACAGTATATTATACAAAATCCTGTATATCTCTTCTGCAACATAAGTAGTGTACTATAATAAGAAAAATAACCTTGCATAATGTAATGTGATCTAATATAGGATAAGATGTCGTTACGTCACATACTGCGTAATATGATATGCTGCGAATGAGAGTAATATATTTTGCTTTTATGCGGTTATGTTTTTTTCACTAGCACATATTTTAAGGATAAAAATATATAAGGGTACTTTAATTCTTTTTTTCGTCAATAATTTTTTGAAATGAAACCTTGAATGAAACCTTGAAAAGAGAATGAGGAGCATCTCTTAATTAGAGACAATAAAAAGATGGCTCATTACAGTAATAGATTTTTTCCTCATTTCAATGGATTTATTTGATGAAAAAGAAATATGAAGTTTTATCTGCTTCTTTGAATTTGAGGCCATAAAAAAATGTTGCACTTTTGTCATATATAAATACACCTACAAGATGTAAAAAAAAATATATATATATATACATATGTATAAAGAAAATATAAAGAAAATGATAACGCACACAAAAAAAGCATAACATTTCTTTTTATTACATATTTTATTATAAATCATAAACTAACAAATCTCCTACAAACCTGATTTTATTCTTCTGAAAAATGTTCTAAGTGTATCGTAGATATAATTGCATTCCATCAAAATTTAGCTTCAGAAATGTATATTGCTATACCTCCAATGTATTCGATTTCTTCGACACTCCATCTTACGCTAATATGTTTACCATAACTCTCGAGATATATAGAAAAAAAAATCATAAAATCTTTATTCGAGAGATTAAATGCGTGGAAAATTGAACTCTGTATATTGCTGCGTGTATTGAAATGCGGGAAGGGAGCTAGATAAATAATTACTAACCTTCAGGATGTATTGTACACGCTCGTTACATATTTAAATAACATTTGGAATAATACTTTATTTTTCAAAAATCACTTTTTGAACACACGTGCGGATGGTAGTCTTTCTTCAATGTGGTTCGCAAATGCAACGATTGCTCCGAAAAAAAAGAGAGATCTATGTATAAATTAAGAAAGAATGCAAAGATACGCCGCGCCGCTGTAAATTGTAGTTGGCATCTTTTGCGTCGCTAAATTTCTTATGCATGTGTATGTATATATATATGTACATTCTACATTCATATTACAAACTTGTTCGAAAAGTTGAAAAATCTTCCAAATTCGCTCCTCAAAGATAGAAAATAGACGAAAGGAGAAAGAGAATGGAAAATACTTAAGTGTGTTTTTTATATGGTAATCATATGGTATTTTGTTTGTGATGATAATTGAAAGTACAAGTTGTCTCTATCCACACTTTTCTTTCCTACATGCACACACACATACACACAACACACACATTCTTTCTCTCTCTTTCTTTCTTTCGTTTCTATCTTTTTAAGGTCATGTACATAGATATATACAATATGGTGCAATGATTATATTACATTTTGCGCTCAGTATATATGAAGAAATTTATAATACAAACCATGGACTTCTAATTTTTATGGTGTAAAAAAATCGCAACAAAAAAATTTTATGATTGCGCACGAATATATGAATTTAGATGATACGGATTCACATCGCATTCAATAACTATATCCAGGATAAATAGAATATACAACTATTAAATAGGTAAAACTGAAGAAAACTGTAGAAGAAAAAACGAATAAAAAACTGTATCTTAATTATAGCACTGACATCTCTATACCTAATATATAATAATGTATAACTTAATTTAAAAAAACTCGATTTTATATTTTTAGATTAGAGGAAAATTATATATTTCAATGTGACATACCACAGCAGCCAAATATAAAATCTCTACCTAATTCAAAATGCAGCTGCCTCAAGACCTTATCCAGTACAATGTATTTCAAAAATAAGATCGTTGCAGGTGATGTAACTTTTTACGATTGCTTAACATATCTTTTAATCAAGGATCCGGACGGAACTAGAATTGATAATTCTCTTGTGACTTTTTACTCGAATGAAATTTAAGTCAAAATTCTACAAAGTTTGTAATACCTGATCCATAAACAATCTAATTAAATTATTTTCGCAATCTACAGTTTTTTTCGGTCCTTAATCTACAATCTGTTATTAGTTTTAATATTTTTCGTCAAAAATTGTAAGAAGGGAAGAGTTTCGTAGAGAGTTATGTGTAATGCCTTGAATATGAAGGTGTTTGTCGTTGTACAAGGTCATGTAAAAACATAGCATATTTAATTTCTTTTTTTTTTTTTTTTTAGGCATCATAATTCCTTTTTCTTCTTCGCTTTCGATCTTTATAACTTAAATGTATTGCACATACACGCGCGCGTGCGCGCAACATGCACACGCATTATTAAAAACAAAGAAAAATAATCTTGAAATATTCGAGATACTCTATATAAATCTACTTGTATTTCATGTTTTTTTATCGCGACAAAAATAATCGTTTTTTAAGCGTTCGATGATATTTTTATCGTCAATTCTTGTGTATATGCATATTATGTGTGTGCGCGCGCACACAAACTGTATGCTTTTTATAGAAATAATAAAAATATAATAGGAAATAAAAAATTTAATTTAATATAACTTAATAGAACAGAAAAAATGTAGGAGAATAATTTTGAAGGAACGGTAACTGTAATAAGAAAGAATTGTAACTTATAAAACAGTTCCGATTTCTTAGCCAATAAAGAAAACCGAAATCAAAATGAAAACCAGAACAGTTATTAAGCGTCTTATTAGACCGTAACCAAACTAAAATATCATTACGATCCGAATCCCCACTGTTAATACTTAAAGGAATCTATGCATCATCCAAGAATCAATCTACGATATAATTAGCCGGTTTATTATAAGCAGATGTTTAAGCCACATACCTGACAGTACACAATCTAATACAATCTAATTAAATTACGTCTTTCGTTAATGTGAGGAATGCTAAACACAATCCATACATGTAACGCGAATAAATATTTAAAATTAATTATACAGTTAACATATTCAACTGTCTCCGTATCATTTAATATCACTGGAGGAATAACATACGACAATAATACTAAGATAATGGAGAAGGAGCAATGATAACCTACTTAAGCAGCTGATAAGTAACAGAGTAGCAAAGTGTTTCTTTTATACAATCGACAATGCAGGAATAAAGTTTATACGTTAAGGTTGATCCTCCTGACAAGTACTCGCCGCTTCAATCCTTGTTTGATGACGTCAGGCGCGATAAATGACACGTTGAGAATTCTTGCGTGCAACTTCCAAATAAATACATGTTTACATAAAATAACACTTTAGATCACTTCAGCACACAAAAGTACTCTGAGGTTTATTCCTTTTCCTTGACAGTTAATAAACAGTAGCCGTAAAATGAATGTAATACAAAACCTAGTCATGCGCCTGTGCATATAAGCCTGCATGACTAACAATAAGCTTCGTATTACATTAATTTTACGGATGTTTATTAACTGTCAAGGTCAAGGGAGAGGAATATTTTTGAAATATGCTGAAGTGATCTAAAATATTATTTTATACAAATATATCTTTTTATTTGGAAATCGCACGCAAGAATTCCCAAGAGTTCTCATTTCTCGCTTCTGACGTCAAAGGATAGATAAACGGCGAGTGCCCAGAGGAGCCTCCGGACAAGCGTGGATAATGCAAATTTAATTTTTCAATTATTTATCGACGCCTTTTCAATTATTGAATCCTCGTACACAAGGATTACATTCAGAATTAGGATTAAAAATCGAATCGAACTTATCTCGACGTCCAATTCTATTAAGATTTAAGATTCGAGTCTGGAATTATAAAAAGTATTTTTAGAAGTTGACGAGAGGAATTTTAAAAAGTATTTTTAGAAGTTGTTGCGGGCATTGCAGTCTGAAAATTCTTTCACGCCGCTTATTCTATAAATACTATAAATATAGAATATTTGTACTATGTGACAAATTATACGTTCGATCTCATTTTATTAAGCCCGACTCTAATCTGCAATATATTTGCCATAATTATCTATTATATACATATTCCTATAATAATATTACAATTGCTTTTTTTATTTCGAAACAATAACTCTTACATAATCTTCAAATCATTAATATTATTTTGGTCTTTTGTCAAATATGCCACTTTGAAATATTGAAGATTGCATATAATCTATATATAGAATATAAGTATAATTAAATTATTCATATTGTAATGTATCAAGTATTAGGATTCTATTCGCTCAAATATCGAAAAAAAGGGTGTTTTTATGCTATTATAAGCCTCCGTCTTCTGTCTGCGTGTAAACGCTTCTTTTTATTATTTTATTATTTTAAAGTCTCTGAAATCAGAAACTGTTGTACTTCTTCTTTACACTTTTCTACAAACGAGCCATTGCTCATATATTTTACTCGTTTAGTTTTTACAAAGAAAAAGAAAACAAAAAAGAATCCTACGAGAACTGAACACGATGGTAAAGTAAAAAACTTGAATAAAAAATTTCTGATGCAAAATGTATGATTAGAAGCGTTTGAGAGAATGTATAAGGCTACGTGAACTGGCCGCGAGTATACTTGGTAAATAAGTCTATCGTTAGGCATCAACGTTAAGTGGCTTCGTAAAAACTTAATGCGTTTGACCTTAATGATCATCACTCATCAAGTTTTACGCATATAAGGAATTTTAGAAATTCTCGATATCTCTGCCGTTAAAATGTTTTTCTCTTGCAATTTTGTTAGTAATTTTTCTAGGAAACCTTAGCGTGTAAACAAAGATAGTACGTACACGTATCGTGTCCATGCCGTGCCGCATTCGTTTATTGAAATCATGCCGTTCGACTCGTGTGTCAATCGATGTAGCAAAGTTCGATATCACGCGAAAGGTAAAGATAAAGAACTTCCTTTCGATATCGGGAACACCTATTGAAAAGTTAAGACACGTCATTGAGGCCGCATCGAATTTCACGATATTACGCGAGAGAGAAAAACAGCGCAAAAATCGAACGTTGTAATCGATGTAAATCAGGTGATATTTATTAACGAGTCACGCTTGCTACGAGACGCGCGGCTATACGATACTAAGTACTGCGTATATCATGTGTACAATTGTCATACGAGCCCGCGCGCGTGCGTCCTTGCACACGCTTGCACGTTGCGCGATGATGGATACGTTTGTATGGTAATCTGAGACACGGATTGTACACAATTATGCCCATAATGAGGAAATTATAATATGGCCGCTATTGAGGCCCGCGCACTGTCATTGTCATACGATAACATGCTCGGAGGTCAAAAATTATGCCGAGATTCGCTACTTTATTTATGACTCGCTTCGAATCATCGAGGATAAATCGCACGTAATGATTTACGCGTTTCTCAACGAGAGACGCTAAATAGAGCTAGGGAAACAAAACACGTTCGCATTACTCGATACTTATGATTCACGTTGCGCGCAGATAAACAAGTTGTTTCTTTTAACAACGGAAGCCGCGATTCTTCACCAAGTTGTTGTGGAAAAAAAAGAGGATATTCGACTGAATTATTTATTCTGATTCATCGCGTATAATTCAAAACTAATTACGGAGACTCGGTGTTTCGCTATCGCTATCTAATCGGTTTATCATGACTCATTTTCAGCAGGCGAGTATACAAATTCTTATAGCTGATATAATATAACCGTAGTGTTATTTATTAATCATATCCGCGCGCGATAATGTTTTCGGAGTATTTTTAGATTCATAAAAATGCATGCGATCGATATACATATACATACGCGTGTTTGATCTAATAAGAGAAAGAAGTGAAATAATAGATTGAAACTTTTCATTTACATCTTTCGTGATTTTCACATCTCGCAGGCTCGATTATTTTAGATGAACTTGTGATTTAAAATAGATTTACGATTGGAATTCATCAATTCTATTTCGCGCGAAATCGTAGCAAATCGAATCTATGAATGATATAGAGATGTCCCTATTTTTTTAATGACTCTCCAAACACATCTGATTTGCTCTGTGAAATCAAAATCATTAAATCTCGTAGTCGCGTCCGGAAAACAAAATCTTCCTATCATATATCGGACGCATACGATAAGAATGAGTAAAATATCGTGCCAACCATTTAATGACCATCTACTTAATATGGACGTATAAAACTTTTAAATTTCGTAATCGATTCCGCGAGAGCTTAGGAGGAAAAATATTTAACTCCTTGACTGTCAATGACGAAAATATCCGCACATTCAAAAAAGATACTTATATCGCAGCAATTAAAACGGAATACTATATTTTGTTTTTGGGGTCGTTAAATTCAAATCTGAAACCAAAATTGAGAAATTCAAACTGGCGGATCAAAAGTGCAAAAAATTATTTAATTTACATAAAATTTTGTATTTAAAGGTTTTTGAAACCGCTGATTTTAAATTCAAAATAAAAATTCAAGAATTTAAAATAACAAATTCAATATAATGAGCAAAAAATTCAAAATATGGTTCTATTTGCATAAAAAATTTCGAAGGGTTTTCAAAGCCATCTGATGATTCCGTTTTTAAAATTGAAATTTGTTAATTTAAAATGATAGGTTTAATATAACGGCCAAAAAATTTAATATCGTTCGGTTTGCATAAAAATTAATTTATAAGAATTATAAATTTTTCCGCCATTTTAAATTTTGACCTTAGATTTAGATGTTCAGCGACTCAAAAAACTCCCAGAAAACATCTTTTTAATAATTTTATTAACTCTTTTGTCAAAAGCATTTTTGACCCACATTTGTTTCGCCTAACAGTCAAAGGGTTAAAGTCCCAAAAATTTGTTTTATTCAAAATATCTATCAATTAAACCTTTCAGTCTTCACCAAAATTGAAATTCCACGCATCGTACGTTTATAATAATAATAAATCGGTCAATAACATACATTTATCGATACGGTATATCACATAAACTATAACAACACAATTAATTGATAATTTCGACGTAAATTAAAAAATTGAGACAAACATAATCATTTGTAGGGTAGTACGTATTTGCTTTATTTTATAAAGCATCGTAACAACGTATACAAAGTCTACCGTTTTATGTCCAGTGGTAGCTCACGAATTTCGCGGAAATTTTAAATACTTCTTATCACTCCAAATGTGCATTATTCAAATTTCAAATGAATGTCGCCCATACTTAACGCAGAGTTGTAGTAAACCTCGTGCTTACTAAGAACAAGCGCATCATGGAAGTTTCCAAAAACCACAAAAACTTGCGACGCAACTACTGTAGTAAGGCATCGATTATCGGGACACACACAAATCGAGAAACTAATACATCTATTATAGATTGTACGCAGAAAAAGAATATAAAAAAATAAATTGTAAACGATATATTGTAAACGGTACATAATTTAAATGTAAACATCACGAAAATATAATAACAACCTGATTGTTAATAGAAATCGCTGTTCGGATTGTCAATGTCCAGACAATTGATGTCCACTGTATATATAGGGTAACTGGGAGGGAATATGCCACTCGTTATGTTTAACAAAGCTACGGGTAAAAGCGCTCTTGTAAATACCATGAAATTGTTCATAGTTCTATATCTGACGTTTTGCATAAGTTTTGTTCATTTCCTGGCAGTATTATAGTTTTTGCGATATAAGTTCATTTGACAAAGGTTTAAAGTTTAACCCTTAAATGCCACACCTCAAAAATCTCGTAAATGACATGAGAGGGGTCTAAAAGACCCCAGCATGAAAAATGTCTCCTTACTTATTGATTTTTTGATCTTTAGTTATAAAAATTTTTTTCAATGTTGTTCAAGGCTTAGAAAAGAGAATAAAATGCTTATATTGTTAAAATTTCAATTTCAACATAGTATAAAAAATTAAGTAAACTGAGTACTACTAAGTGTACAAACGGGTAGGTCACGCACTCAACTATCATCAATGGGAATATGAGCTCCATTTTTGGGGGGAACATTTGAAAATATATCATTGTAAAGAATCTGGGGTCCGCTGGACCCCAGGGGGCATTTAAGGGTTAAAGATTTAAGGTTTATAAAGTTTTAAAGTTTATAAGGTTTAATGTTTTAAAGTTTTTAAGATTTATTTTTCATTTTAATTTCAAATGTTGCAGTTCAATATTACAATAATTTCAATATTACAATTGAATTTCAAAATTTTATTTTTTATTATAAAAACTATTTGTACTAACTTATTTTAAAGACTATTGTATTTGTATTGTTTTTATGAATAAAGTAACTTTTGAAGCTAAATTACTACATGTTTATATGTAGTATATTACCTCATACTATGTGACATATTACCCACATGGTTAGGTAATATGCCATTTTGCAACACTTTTGTATTTTTTTTTTTTTTTAATATTAAATAATCAAAATATTTTATTGAAAGATAAGGCCGGTTTTCACACGCAATGATTGGTGGCGCCAGGCCGCGCCAGTCGACTAACGCCAGTAAAAATGCAAGTGTAAACACTTGATACAAACTGGCGCTAGTAATGTGGCGTTTACTGGCGGTTATTGGCCAAAGCATATAACCTCAAATTTGGAGGTTATATGCTTGCTGTCATTTACTGTGTGTTTAATAAATGTTAAATATTTTCCATAGTATACGCCAATCACTGTGTAAATACTTGTGAGTTTGCTAGTCGGTTCTGGCGCCAATGAATGCCAGTCAGTTGGCGCCACTAATCATTGCGTGTGAAAACCGGCCTATATATAAAAATAACAAATGACATATCAAGAGACACGGTAGTGTCTCGCGCCAAGTATAGGTACGCGCGGAGCGAGACCGATCGTGACTCATTTACGCGACGCGGACGAGTTGCAAGTACTCGAAATGTTGAGATCTCGATAATTAGTGATAGAAATAACAGATAAACATATGGATATGACAGATTAAAATAAAAGGAAAAAGAAGATTAGTATGCAAAGATACTTCAAAGAGAAAGAAAAATAGGAAAAAAATCAAATATTTGTTAAGTGTGGCATGTTCCCCCCAATTACCCTACAAATGTATGTATGTACAAATGTATCGGCTCATCTAAATTAGTTAAGTACAGCGCACAAGTACAATTCAGTAAATCGGCGAATATAATCTTATTATCGTAAAAATATATCATAAAAATTTATCAAGAGCTAGATCGCTAGCGATTTTGCGCTCTACTCGAAATCGAATCAAAGATAAATAGGACGCGTCGAAAATTATACATGTGCGTATTACACAAAAGTCAAATATACATATATATAATACAGAGTACATTTGCAATAAATTGAAACTTTAATCGTGCAACTTGTACATTCGTACGTGAGGTATGGGAATATATTTATCCACGGTTTGATCCCAGACGATTAATCATAGAAAAACCACGCTCCTCCGGATCCCATATCTGACAATGCGTTTAATTGCCAAGTCCGCAATGAAAAATGATGTATCCGCGCGCATTAATCTCGAACCGTAAAATGAATTTCCATAACGACGCATGGAAAGATGAAAGCGTTGCCGTAGTATCGCTACCGAAAAAGAACAATACCATCGATCTGTACATTTAATCGCGACTAGTTTTACGTATCAATAAAATTAGTAGAACTTCTCTATTCTGGAATCTCCTCTTAATTCTCACTTTTGTTCCAATAGCATATACGTAGATAAAAATGTTGCGCGCTCTATCTTCCACTCGCTTTCTCGCTCTATGCACGGTCATGAGATCACTTAGCGAGTGCGTGATAGTAATGCAAAATAAGAATTCCAGTTCACAAGTTGTTTCAAAAACCAACTTTTATGCAGAATACCTACTGAACCTATCGCTAACGTAAATGGATTTTGATGAAACGCACAGGTGAGCCATGCTGGCACATTTAAGAAAGACAAGAAAAATGCAATGTACGTCAATTGTCAATGAAAATTAAAAATTAGTTAATGATTTTAATTTCAAGCATATAGCACTCATTGAAGAGTAATTAAAAACTAAGCTCTAAAAATCTTGAATCCTTTAGCATCCTATATATTTCCATATAATTTTATTATTTTCCTACTATTTTTTCATATATGTTGAAGTATTACGCAATTTTTCAATTATAATTAAACATTGCAAAACGGTGAAGAATTCTTTTTATCTTAACCCACTATACCTGCCCTCTGAAAGCTCTGTTACATATATCTATTACCATGTACCCTTTATAGAACCTAGATGTAAAAATTTGCCGTGTTTTTAAGTGTCTCGTCGATGATAATAATCAAGACATTAAATATTAGATTTCTTATTATTTGCCTTTCTTAAGTATGGCCGCTGTGTTTACTGCATGCGTTTGACATCAATTTTTTAACTAAATTTCCATAGATATTAATGTAATCGAAGTAATCTATGTAAATGTAAAAGAATACATTTCCAAAATAAATATATAGAAAGGAATGTAAAATAGAAGATAATAGAATAGAGAGGTTCTACCGTACCATACAAATAAATAACCTTCACAAAAAACATTGCACCATATTGAGCATACTTAATGGGAATAATACGTGTCGAACGTTTCTCTTATTGGTTGACGCGTCAACGTATCGCGTGCGGATCAATTCGACCAATTTTATTTAGTCACAGATAAAATATCAGATTTTCAAATTTTTTATGTATATATTTGATATAATATTATGACTTGTATCCATTAGTAAAGCCTAAAACGCAAACGGTTTATTTAACGGTTTCTTGACGACTTTACATTGTTTAAAATATAAAGGGAAGAATCAATAAAGCTGGACGAATTGGTCTGCGCGCTGCGTAACAATTGTTTAAAACGCGCACCAATCAATCGCATACAGACTGTAAGATATACTATTTCGTTTGTCGTATGATAAATTTTTCAAATGTTAATTAACTGCACGGAAAGAGAATTTGTTGTCTCCAGGAATTCTCTGTCCCGCAGCCACTCGACACGCTTGAAAAATTTGTCGTATGTACAAAAAATAAAATAGGAAGTTCTAAGCTAAGAGTTCCTCAATTAAGAGTTTGGACTTGGAGTTTAGACAATGAGTTTGATTAATCCGCTATATATTTCCAACTAATTACGAAGAAAGTTATTTACAATAATTTATTTTACAGATTTACTTTTTATAGTAATAATAATACTTGTGTATATACATAACTGTGTATATACATATATGGAATATTGAAAAATCCTTTTTCATTAACAAATCACATGCTAAACTGACTTGAACGTTTTTAAAAAGCACACTATCGTGGCCTGAAAGTGGCGATGTCCAAACTCTTACTCGAGGGACTCTACCCTAAACGAGGTGTTCCAAGCAAGTTCCATGCATTTTTAAAACAGTAAGGTCCTTCCATTCTGAAATTTCTCCTCAATCTCCCTTTTATTTTAGTGGTATATACAAAATGAAAATGTCATTATGTGTTCCGTACGACAGAATTTCAGTTTATGGAAGGACAGTTGTTTCAAAATGGAAATAGATTCAACTTGGAATAAAAAAAACTTTTTCGTATTATAATATTCCCTGTCGAATGCCAAACCTAACGCGATAAGAGTTTTGTCGAGTTTTAAAGCACGGTACTATGGTCTTCGCCTCAGAAAATGGATATTCAATAAAAAAGAAGGCAATATTTATTTGGATTTCATTCATATTACTTAATTGCCAAAATATTGATAATTAAGTAAAAAATTAAAACTCTGTTTAAGATACAATTTCCTTTATAAGACAATAATTTACGTTCAGCTTCTTAGCGTAATCCGCTAACATATCTCTTTATCTTCGATTCAGTTGTAAATTAAGAGACTATAATTGTAAGAATATTATCAAAAGATCAACCAAGAAAGAGAGATCCACGAGGAGAAAGATCCGATAATCAGAACACCTCGCATACGTACGCGCGCTTATCAGTAAAAAAGGAGAAAGAAGGAACGCTGCGCGCCGCCTCTATTTCTCTCTGTCTAGTTTGACACGTACGCACGTACGCACGTAGGCGCACCTGCACACACGCACGCACGCACGCCCGCACGCACTCACGCACTCATGCTCATGAACTCTCAATATTTGACTTTCGCCTTAACTTCCTCCGCGACGCCGCCCCATTTGAGCCTGTAAACACGCGAGCGCCACTGTATGAGAGGATCCAGGACAGCCTGGAGGAAAAGATACGGTCTCGTGATCTCGCTGAGCAACCAACCGCACACGAACTCGAGTTTGTTGAAGGGTAGCGGACCGTTTTGCACTAGGCACAGTAGCGTCCAGTCGAACATAAACCACAAGAGTATGTGTACCAGATAGAAAACTAGAGAATCCCATTCGAAGAGCACGCTGGCCGCCCAGGAGGCGAAGCCGCCGAGAACGAGGCACTCGCTCAGCGGCTCGAAAACGATGGTGGTGGGTAGCATAGCCACCCTCAGTTTAGCCCACCGTCGTAGTCGCGCCTGGAAGGAATCGACCGCGCAGTGGCCGCTGTTCTGCAAGGCCGGCTGCGAGGAGATGGTGATGCGCCAGCCGCGGTCGGTCAGGGATTTCGCGTAGAAAAAGTCTTCCGCGAGATAGATGCCGAACGCCCTCAGCCCGCCGACCTCGTCCAACGTGGACTTTCTCAGGAGAGCCGACATGCCGGTGTGGCAGTTAATCCTGAGCATATCCGCGGCGAGATACATCCGCGACTGCACCGTGCCGAAGAAGATCTTTTCGTAGGCGGCGGCGAAGCCCTCGCGGTCGCAGGTGAACGGCATCTGATGAACCAGAGCCACCCGGTCCGTCATGTGATGGACCATGTCCAGGAGAGTGTCCTCCTTCATGCGTATGCCGCTGTCGCTGATGAGCACCAGCTCGTACTTGGCGGCCTCGTACGCCGGCTGCATGTTGTTGATCTTCGGATTCACCCCGACCTTGGTGCCGCCGACGAAGAGCCTGGCCTCGACCTCCGGATACTTTTCGACGAGCTTGCGCACCAGCATCAGCACGGGATCGGACTCGTCCTCGACGCAGAACAGGAGCTCGTATCGCGGATACTCGATGGTGAAGAAGGTCTCGAGGTTGCCGAAGAGGTTCGGGTCGACCCCCATCAGGGGCTTGATCACCGACACCCCCGGCAACGGCGTCTCGTAGCTCGGCGCCTGGTTCGTCTTCCGATGGAGCTTCCAGCGGCCGGCAATCAACGCCAGCACGTGCACCACCCACATACCCGACCAGAATATCATGAAGAATATCGCGAACCCGTAGAGAGTATATAGCATGGAGTTCATTTTCCAAGGGAGCGCGAGTTTGAGCGAGGGGCTTTTAGGCCACCGCGGATCTAGCGTGCCGGCCTGCACCTGCACCTTCCTCCTCCTCCTCCCTCCTGCCCCGCTTCCTTTCCGCTATTTCTCGCCTCGACCGGGCACCCTCGTGCGGACGCATCACGGCCAGGAGTCGAGCGACGACCGACGACGCGCCCTACTGACCGCGCATCGTTCCCTCAGCCTCGGCCTCAGCCTTAGCATCCGCGCGGCGGCGGCGACGGCGACGACGACCACGACGGCGACGACGGCAACGTGCTCGCCTCCTGCAACTCATTCACGCGCCTCCTAACCCCGGCCCGCCCTGGCCCGCCCTGGCCCGCTCGGGCGACGGCGACGCTAACCTCCGAGCCTCCGAGACCCGCGCCAATTACGAGCGCGTCAACTACGCGACCCGTCCGTGACGCCCGTGCCGATTGTCCCGAAGCGACTTGGCTGACTTGGCTTTGGTTTTGGCTCCTGCCCCGCTTGCCCGAGATGTGATTCCGTCTTCCATCGGGTGGCCGAGCCGCGATCGGATCGCATCGTCGTCACGCCGACGGAGACCTCGATCTTGCCGAGCTCTCGACGACGACGGCGACGGCGACGGCGACGCGCAGCCACCGACTTCACGTTCACCTGGTTCACCGGTGACACCGGTCTTCGGTCTTCACCGCTTCACCCCGAGTCTGTCACTTTTCTTCGCGGCGCGGCGCGGCGCGGCGGCTGCGCCACGCAAGTCGCAACATAGACACTCTTCCTTTCTATCGACACCCGTGCGTGGCGTCCGGCGAATCGCGCACTGTCATAGTCATACTCATACTCATACTCATGCCTCGACGACCGGCTCTCGGGCTCTCAGCGCCTCGATCGAATCGAAACTTGCTCGCCGACCTCGCCGTACCTCGTTCGTCGCGCGACTCGACCGACTCGCGCGGCGGCGGCTCGCGCTTTTCGTCACGCGCGCGAATCGAACGACAGAGTCGACAGAGCGAGAACGAGAGGGAGAGGGAGCGTAGCGGGGCAAAGCGGAACGATCTGTCTCGCCATGGAATGCCTTCGACGTGACGCGCGCAATGACGCGATGACGCGAGTCCCATCGACTATCTCATCTCTTCCATCCTTTTTCTTACACCGTACACCGTATACGTGTGTATGTACCGGAAACTCGCACCTCGCACCTCGCACACACCTTTATTTCGTCACGGATGACTCACTTCACTTGCCTGACGCACGTTCCCTCTTCCCTCACTTCTCTAGGGGAGCTTTCCTTCTCTCTCTCTCTCTCGCGTCAGTCCACTTGACGCGCGAGGCGAGTATAAGTATGTATGTACCTCCTCGCGCGTCGCTTTTCGATCGGGAGGAAAAAAAGCCAATGATCGGAGATCGAATCGGCAACGCGCGACTCGCGGAATTGACTAGGAAGGAAATCCAATCAAATTTGCTACGAGTATAATGCTCGAAGCGTCCGCCTTTGCGACAAACATTTCTCGCGGTATTCAGAGAACCGCCGATCGCACCATTTTCATTCGATACTGAAATATTTGTATCGCATTGCATTGCCCAACTAACGAGAGTAACGAGCGTTTCGTTAGATCGTTAGTTAAATAACGATCGAAGTTGCTTCCGGATGTAGACGCCGCCTACGTATATTTTTGCTTTCTAACACCTTGTAACGAGATCCACATTTTATCGCCGTCGATAAGACTAATCCGAAAAAATTCCTTGGAATAATGCACTCGATCGTTTAAATTACGAAATACTTATGAAGATTACGATTGTGACTCATCACAATGTCTCTTATCGTCTCTTACGATGTCTTTTATCGATGCATGGAATTATCGATACAGGATACAGATTAAACTTGAAAGTAATAAAATTGTTTATTTATTAGATAGATTTATTTAATTTCAGCTACAAAAAGCCAAGAAATAGACTTAGTTTACAATATAATACCTTATACACACTCATACCAACTTTTTTAACAGCGCGTGCAACTATTAATTCATTATTCCGTACTTTCTTAAATTTCTTTTAGAAAAAACCATCCCTAATCGGCGTGGAGTGAGGTTCTTGACTTAAACGCATAGCTTGTTCGTACATTATGGACGCGGCTTTCCGCATATTTTGCTTATTGATATGGAAACTGTATAGAAAATTATAATAATTGTTTTCTATAAGATCGCGACGCTTCTGGCTCTACCTTCTACTATTCTTTCGAGATCCTCGTACATATCGTACATTATTCATCAACGGACACACACCAACGGACACACACGTACACATACATTCATACAACGCGCAATAACTATAAATATTAATATTCCATATAATTGTTTATTATTTATCACTTATCAATTCGCGACGTTAAGAAAATGTTAAGAAAAAAATCGTGCAATTTATGTTCTGAACTTTTTAAAGAGAGGATGCTTATTTGCCGTCGATGAGCCAGGAGCTTTCTTGTACTCGTAATAAACGGCATCATCCGCTCCAGACATTGATACCATCGTGCCAGCTTTACGTACAATCTGAGAAAAAAAATTCATTATCACTTTTATGAGACACACAGATGTGACACAGAAGTTGTTAACTGTTATCTTTAAAAACTTTACGTTTCTATACGATATTTCTATATTCATTTTTTGTACACTCACCGGTCTTGGTCCTTCGCCAGGTATTCTTTCTTCTTCGGCATCCGTGTCGCTGGCTGTTAACACTTGCTGCAACAATTGACCCTGTTCCTCTCGATTTCCATACATTAGATCTGGCTCCTAGAAAAATAGATCGTAACCGTATTTTATGATTGTAAAAAGATCATATAAGGACCCCGCACGATTTATATGGGGAAAAAAAAAACATTTTTTGTCAATTTGCTTAAATTTGTGATTGTAGTTTTTGTGTCCGTAAGTTTCAAATTTCATCAACTTTCTATTATTAGTTTCTGAATTTGTCAGGCATTCACGGACATTCGTACACACAGATACAGATGCGGGTAGGCACACAAGTGCAAACTGTATACAAACATATGAACGGTTCTTCTATAGGAGATTTTCAAATGTGTACAGTTCAGAAACCGTCATAGAAAATTGATGAAATTTGAGTTTGAGACTTTTCATCAGAGACACAAAAAACTACAACATATTACAAATTCAAGCAAATTGACCGAAAACTTCTTTTTTATAAATCGTGCAGAGTCCATTAATTGTAAATGTTAATGCACTAATTATTTTATCGACCGTATCGTTACCTCGTCCATGCCTGCAAGTTTCGTGATAACTTTGTAGGCGTAACCTTGATTCACAAGGAACCGTTGACGCTTTCTCGAGTAATTCATTTCCATCGTATCTTGCGATACGAGCGTATAAAAGAATGCGTTATATTCCTCCGCAATTGCACCTACATAATGAAAGTTTTAATAACACGCGCAGTTGTTTGATAAATAAATAAATAAATCATATACCTTTTTTAGCCCTAAGAATACGCCCTAATCGTTGTGCTTCTTGCCTTCTAGATCCACCATGGGATGAAATTTGAATCAAGACATTAGCTTCTGGTAAATCAAAGGAAGTATCTGCTACTTTGCTGACAAATATCGTATTCACTTTCATGTTAAACTTAAAATTTTGCAAGATCTGTATCCTTTCGCTCTGAAAGAAGATACATATGGATCGTCGTGAGAAAGAAATGTAGGTAGTTACGAACTATATAATTTCGCTATAATTATATCGAAAAATAATCGTTGTTACGTATGATCGGTGCTGATGATGATATTTACCTGACTAGTAGGGCCATAAATATATGGCTTATTCATTTTAATAGCGTAGTGTTTCAATGCAAACACGTTATCGGAGAAGACGATCGTTTTATCGCCACGCCTCTCGTGATATCGAATTAAATATTGGCAACAACGAAATTTATTTGGATTCATCACGTACAGCAACTAAAATTATTAACAAGTATAGTAGTGGATGGAGATGCTCAATGTACATTAAGGTTATAAATTATAGTAGACATAATAACAGAATCTAACCAGTTTTCTGTTCATCTTGCAAGCGAGATATTCTCTGTAAAATTCGGATGTCATAGGACACCAAACTTCCGCACATTGTACTTTTGCGATATATCCTCTTTTTTCCAATTCTAACCAGTTAGCCTCGTATAATTTCGGGCCAATCAAAAAATTCAGATCGGCAATTTTGTCGTCCTCTCGCAAGAGCGTAGCCGTTAAACCCAACTTACAATGTGACTGAACGATCGTTAATACTCTACGGAACATTTTCGCAGGAATGGTATGTACCTCTAAATGAAAATCACAATTATATCGCATGGGAACAAATATTACTTTGCTCAGTAATTCGAATAATGAAAATTTACCGTCCAAGACCATAATACCCCATTCCTGTTCTTGAAGCCAACGCATCGTTTGCTCAGCTTCCCACGACCTCTTTTGCGTATGCGTAATCATAGAATACGTGGTTATCAATATTCCACAACCCATAGGCTTATCTTTCGCCTCGCTAGTAAAGCGACAAATCATTGAATCGTCGGCAGTAGACCACATTTTAAATTGTTGCTTCCATTGTTCCACAGATACACCGGAGTTACATAGTACTAGAGCGCGTTTATGTACTGTACAGCAAGCTGTAACTCCAACTAAACTTTTGCCAGCACCTGCGTTTAAAAGGCTTGTTTACAGAAATACTGCTGCCGAAGCCGTTGTTTCTTCTGTATATGGTTGAATAGAAATTGTATCGAGTGCACTTACCGCAGGGTAAGACTATTACCCCGGATCTAGCCCGTCCATTGCCAAACATTTTCCGCAAGCTTTTTTCTTGATAAGGTCTTAATACAGCTGACGCCTTCAAGTCAATACTAACGAGATATTACGAGATGTTAGTTTTAATGCCTATTGTCACTTGATTTGTATAAAAACTATTTTTTGGGATATATGTATATACCTACTATTTCTTTTTATCTATTTACTTACTTTATATCAGGATTTACGCTATCATTGCGAAAATCATATTCCGCCAATAAAGGATGTTCCAGTTCGATGCATCGTTTTTGTATCACTTCAATTTTTTCCTTTTCACCGCAATAAAGCACATAGTTTTATAAAACATTATACATATAATACCTTATATCGTATTTTGTACAAACAAATGTAAAAAAAATTGAATGCGTTAAATATGCTAGAACAGAAGATATCTGTTGTATAGATATGTATATTTACCTGATTCACTTCAAAACTAACTGTTTTCAATTCTTGATCTTCTTCCTCGTCTTCATCCTCCTTATCGATCTTGTCGTAAAAAGCAGTTATATCTTCTGGAATGACAGCCGTCTCTGTCAATATCTGATCAGATTCAGTCTCTGAATCTGTCTTACTAGGCATAGGCGTATTTACGAGTGCTTTTGATCCAAACTATATTCCGACATAAAAAAACAGACCACATTTTTATTATTAAGATTACTACTGATTAATGATTAATGATCGTCACGAGTATTTCAACAGACCTGAGGGACTTTTATTTTAGTTTGAATATTCGTTTGAATGCCATCAGTTTCTGTATCTTCCACAAGTTTTCTCAATCGACACTCTTGAATCACTGGGTCCTTCAATAATCTTTGCAGCACTTCAGGAAATGGCGATTCGATAAAATATTTGTTATGTTTTAAGACGAGTTTAACCTGCATGCGAAACGTGCAATGTTTTATTAAGCTCATTTCTTCGTGGGACTAGACAAAACGTTTATGAAAATCTCCGTTACTCACTTTTCCATAGGACAATGTACACAGTTTGATAAACTCGATTATACCATCAGGAATACTAGTCTTACTCAATCTCTTTAAATACTCTATTATATCTTGCGTCTGTAGGCCCACGCTAACTGCAGCGTAAAGTGAATATGCAGTCAATTTATACTGAAAAAGACAAAACGCCATATTGTATACTTGTTGCCCACTCCCTTTATAACACAGGTGAAAGTTTTCTATCAATGAAATTTTTAATTTTACCTCGTGAATATGTTCTGGCCGGCATACAGGTTCTGATATAGCTATTAAAAAATCATGAGCGTGTTTATATACAGGAGAAAAGGATTCCAAAAAAATATGTCCGTTTGGCGCCTATCAAAGATACAGATTATTTTAGGACTTATTTCACAATGGTTTTGTAAAATAAATTGAATTCTTTTGTCAAATTTTAGAGTTAGATTCTCACCACCCATAATGGTCTAGATAAATGATCTGGCTTTAAAATCATTTGCGAGCGATAATCTTTCGCTCCAAATTCATCCTCGATCGCGCACTCATCTTGTTTTTCTACATCATTTTTTGCTGCATCGGGAACACCATCCGCTTCGTTGCTGTCTATCGAATCATCATCGTTGTACTCGTCGTAATCGTCCTTACGCTTCTTCCATTTACCTTTATTTAATGTAAGTAAAAAAAAAAACAAGTAAATGTAAAAGCAGATGTAATGTACAATTACTTTTTTGCGTACACGTAGTGATATTAATAGCATAATATTAATATAAAAATAAACCACGCATTGTGAATAATCGAGTAAAATAGAAAAATTCGACAAACAAAATATAATGTATAGGTTACGTACTGTTATCCTTTTTGAAGCGCTTTGGCGGACTCATATTATATGGAGATATCGTAATTCAAAATTTTGGTTAATTAATAAGGCTTCCTTTTTTCTTCTTCTTTGATATAGATGTTCCCTTTAGGACCACTTTACTCAATCACTTTTGTCAACCTCTGTTGCACGCAACCTCGCACGCAAGATACTCAGACCGAGCGCAATATTACACCCTACATCCTACATACAGTGTCTTTTTCTGCTTCTTTTTCTTTTCAATAAGTGGCATCAGATTGCCTCCTTAAGAATTTAAATAAACTCCAAATTCGTCTTGTTAAAAGCGCATTGTCCTAACGAAGATCAAATGATTGCAAGATCAACCGCACAGCACCGCACACAGCTGACAACTGAAACTGACTTGACGGCCTTGACGCTTTGACGCGTAAATAAGGTCAGAAGGACATATACAGTCGCGAACCAATGCTTACCAAACCGTAAGGAATGGAGCAACAACGGCTCAGTCACGCATACGAAGGGACAAATGTAGAATAATAAACAAAAGAACGCGTGAATAAGTTCAGAGGGGCATGAATATAGAACCGTTAAATTCGAAATCGAATAACAAATAAAGACTACCGCAATTGAGTATTTAGGCATTCGCAAACGCATGAACACAATTAAGAAAGAAAAGAAAAAATTAATTTCTAATTATAAATCCTAACTATAAAGTACATACAAACCAGATTAATGTAATGTTAATTTAAATTTATGTTTTATCTTAATTAAGATAAAACAAATTTAAGAAATTAACGTTAAATTAAATATGTTAAGAATCACGTTTCCATCATTCGTTTATGTATTAAATCAATTCTAAACTATCATGTTGGATCATTAATTAATTATTATTGATCGTAAATACAAAAATCTAAAATTACCGCGAAATCGCAATTAAATCAAGCGTTGATTTAGCGTTTAAATGATAAAAATATGAAAAAATAATTCTTAATAAAATAAAAGTACATAAAGTCAACAAAATTTATTTATTTATTTATTTACAATATAAGAATATGTATCAGTATCTTTTTATATTCATATCAAATATTTTTTTATACATTCTGATATCCGTATTGTAAAGTTTTTTTTTATTATCCCTTTAATGGCACATGTACAAAGTAAAAATGTTACACGCTCGGTATTTAACTTGCCTTCCCACTTTAATATGGTTACACAATTATATGGCAAATAAATGAAATATAACTTCAATTTACAAAACTTCAACTCTTACATCTAGCCAAGATCACAATGCAAGATTTTACTATATGGAAATTTGATTGCATGATAAATAAATAGAATAAAGCAGATATTATCATGAAAGAATGTTGCCACCAGCGGCAAGACTTTTCTCGTCGATAATTCCTAAAAAGTAGAGACATACCAAAGCAGCACCCTGTTCGGCCCATTTTTTATTTTTTTCCCTAAAAAAAAAAAGAGGATACATTGAAGCAAAAAAGAGAAAAGTGTGAAGAAAATTATTTAATTATAATTTACCAGAAGGAGGAACCATATTTCCTGCCATCCACAGTAACAACAGAACAAAAAAGCTTATTCTCCTGCCGTGTATCGTATATTGGTATTTTTTTATGATTTTCCTTGGTCCACTTGAGTAGCCTAGTCTTTGGCAGCTCCGAGTCTGTCACGTAACTGTTTCTTAAAAAAGCACAACGCATCAGAGAAACATCTTCCTCTTCGTGAATTTTTCTCTTGTAAGAAACGCCATTGTCTTTATCCAGGATTCCCGGCGTTATTTGAAAGCGACCTAATAAACCTCTATCTCGAAACTCTTTACTTTTGGATCGGCAATAATCATTCAATCCCCACACTTGGCTGAAAAAAAAGTTTATTGAGCAAGAATTAGAAGAGCAGCGAAACGGAAAAAAAAAACAAGGAGAAACATATTCACCATATTTGTTCCAGCGTTTGCGCATCGAGGAATCTTCTGCCTAAAGGAGATTCCTGAAGCTCTCGTAGAATATTTTGTACGCAATACTTGGTATTGGAAGGTGGATTATCGCAATTGATCGCGTGCTTTAAATACGACTTTATAACATCTTCCATTGGAAGAAGACCTTCTTTACGAAATATCGAGCAGTTCCACTCAGCGGCGCGAGCGAGCATTACGCTACTACAACCCGTTTCCTTTTTAAATCTGTGAAAACATGCTTTAGACAAGTTAGAGTGAAAACAGGATCTTCTGACGGATGTATAGATATGCGTTAAAACGTTACCTAAGTATATCGGAATGTTTTTGAATATCTTTGGATCCGCCATTCGCGATAACCGGTATCGAAAGTCTAGCCGAGATCTGTTTGAGAACGTGGTTGCGATTAGGATGCTGCGGTCTCTCCTCGATAGTGCGACCATGGACGGCAATGGCTGCGATACCGGTGGAGGCGAGGGCGTCGCAAAGTCCAAGAGTTTCCTCGAGATCGGGCAGAACGCGTATTTTGCACGTGACCGGTATTGATACCGTTTCGACCAGCTTCCGCAAGATATCGGTCGCTTTCTGCGGCTCGTTGAGAAGAGAAGCGCCCATTCCTCCGAGTATCGAAAATTTCTTTGGGCAACCCATATTAACGTCTATGCCTGCAACGTCATTTTCCACCATACGAGCGACTTGAGCCGCTCTTGCTGGATCGGACGTACCAATTTGAAGAACCACGTGCTCTCGTTCCCGAGGACAAGTACGAAACGCCACGGTACCGTCGGTCTTATCGATGTAATCGACCGTGCCTAAAACATCTGCGAACAATGGCAGATCGAGTCTAGTAAATGTAGGATAATTGAGGCTAAATAAGATTACGTTGAGTTAGCTAGGTTACGTTAGATCGGTAGTTAGACGAGGATTAGGATTATGGTTTAAGAGAAAAAGCCTAAGGACAGACGTGTTATAGGTTAGACTTGGAAAAAAGTACAATTCGGTTTTCAGAGAAGCAAGTTTTCACTTTATTCGAATTAACAGAATTTGACACCAATAAGACAGATATGATATGATGCGATAAATGTGATATATTGAATATGAAACGTAATTGATAGAGAACTTTTTGGCATCGATGTGGACGATGCATAAGGTATTTAGGTATATATAAATTTTAATGGAATTATTCTCCAGTGCTGAACGAAAGGAAAAGTTCAATATTTTACCATTCTCTCGACGAATCGAACGAAGTAGTTTTCTGTCGATCAATTCCTCGGTGTAAACTATATCCGCGCCGTAGTCGAGGGCGAGCAAACGCATCGGAAGGGTCCCGATGCGCACCATGGGCGCAAGGATGAGCTTGTCCTCGTAATCGAGTCTTTTTCTCGCAGTCGACTTTTCTTCCATGTTAGCGTGAACGGCGTGAACACGTTGCGACTCATTCGGGATTACAAGTATTATAGACGACAGTCGAAACGAATCCACGTGAACACACGTGAAAAATATCCGCTTATCCACTTTTATATACGTATTTACTTATTTACTACCTGCTGCTACCTCCTACTCCTACTCCGGCTACTCCTACCTCCTACTCCTTCGCGTGTGCGCATATGCGGCACACCGCACCGCACATGTCATATCATCGATGACATCGATAAACGAAGATGAAACCTCGAACTCGAACGTCTCGAACTCGAACTCGAACTCGACTCATCGTTCCGATACTTCTCGATTCATTTTGCGTGTGAAATTTATATCAACTAGACATCACAGACGCGCGCTTCGCGCGCGCTATTTAGCTCTAATATTACACACAACTGTCAAAATATGCTATGACAGCCGATCACGAAGTTAGCGCAGCAACAGAATTAATCAGCATCGCGGAAAAGAGCCAACAAAGCAATTCGAGACTTTCGAGAAGACTTCGAGAGATGCGAGTATCGATTTAACATGCCTTTTTTTAGAAAAAAAAGGAGGATTATCAATGTCGCAGGTCGCAAGTGCTGCGATTTCGAGCCCCGGCACGCACGCGAATTTCCCCCTCCACTACGCACACAAATGACGCTCGGTCTATCGGTGTGTCGGCAGCGCTCGGCCGTTCCGAGCGAGAGGGAGAATATCACTCCCTCCTTGTCGCTCTCACACTGCTCGCGCGATCGACGAATGTTTTTACGCTGGAAATGCTTTCTCGGTATTTTGGAAAAAAATTGTAGTAAAAAATTATATAAAAGTATATTTTCGTTAACAAATATATTTATAGAAATACTATATTTTTATATATTATTTATTTATATGTCCAATAACGTGATATATATGTATATACATATATACATATACGTGTTCCAGAGGATATTGAACTAAATAAGAAAGTTATATACATATGCATTGTATATAACTTTCTTATTTAGTTCAATATCCTCTGGAACACGTATATGTATATATGTATATACATATATATCACGTTATTGGACATATAAATAAATAATATATAAAAATATAGCATTTCTATAAATATATTTGTTAACGAAAATATACTTTTATATACTTTTTTACTACAATTTTTTTCATGTTTATTAATCATTTTTACATCATCTCTACATTATTCCAAAGATCGCTCTTTGGTTATCGTGCACCGGCAACTCAAATTCACGCCGAGATACCGAGAAAGCATTTCCAGCGTAAAAACATTCGTCGATCGCGCGAGCTGTGTGAGAGCGACAAGGAGGGAGTGATATTCTCCCTCTCGCTCGGAACGGCCGAGCGCTGCCGACACACCGATAGACCGAGCGTCATTTGTGTGCGTAGTGGAGGGGGAAATTCGCGTGCGTGCCGGGGCTCGAAATCGCAGCACGACCAGTCTGGTCGCAGTACTCGTCGCCATACTCGCCATTGGTGCCCATGTGGAACTGTATATAGGTATGTACATACATACTGCAATGATAGACCTTATTGTTTTGCCGTGTAAGCAATAATTGTGTTTCGATATCTTGATAGTACGTTAAAAATGGAATTTTTCAGTACCAAATACGTAGAAGCACTATATAGACTTATAGGTACTTTTTCAACACGATCCTTCGAATCACTCATCTTGTAAACTGGTCGCGCGACAGACACGTTTTAAGTTCAAAATCCACGTATATTACGTATTATATTTCTTGCGATAAATTTATATTAGTCGTTAATCGCTGCAAACGTAACTGGTTAATAAATTTGATCGCGTCATCCATAAATTATACTAGTAAAAAATGTTGCAACTCATTTTTTATATTTCAAGAGGGCTCTAATGATACCCCTCTGGGTGGATGATGCGAGTGTACGTGACTGAGGTGAGCAGATGATCTGATGCCTCTGATGGTCATCTGCTGTCATCGTCTGCTCCTGCTGCTAGCGATCACGATTTGGGGTCAATTGGGTCCAGATTGCGGTCTAGTGCGTGGTGTAGTTTCTTCGTTCCTTGTAATCATTTCTACGAGTCACTGAATTTCGCAATATATTGGAATTGGTTTGTCTTTTTTTTAGGATGACGGGCCTGACGCACCACACTGACCACACCACGTTGACGACGTCTCTGCTCCCGAGGCTCCCGTTCAGTTAAGAGCGATAAAATCGCTGCAGAGTGCAGAGCGACGACGCGGACGCGAGATCGGCGAGATCGGCGAGATTCGACATTCGACACCGGCAATTCGGATGGAAAATTCGGTCGGCCATTCTCGATTAGACGAGCGTGAATTATTTAGAGAGACGACGTTCGCGACGAGACGGTGATCATGGTGAGCGCGAGCAGCGTCGTGGCGCATCTCGTGAAATTGCTGGTGACTGCGGTATGCATGAGACACCTCGCCGAGCCCTACCGGGCGAAGGCCCTGCCGCGTACGTGGTCCTTGCGTGCCTTTCGAATCCTCTTCATGCATTCGATCCTGGGGATCTTCAGATTCGGTGAGACTTTAATGTTACTCTTTAACACTTTTGAATCCGTCGCCTGTCGCCTCCTTTCTCCTTTCTCCAAGATAAATCTCATTTCTATCGAGATGTCGACGTAAAATCAAAATCTTGATTCTCTAAGATTCCAAGTAATCTTAGAATGAGATCGTAACAGCGATCAACGTGTATATCAGTGTGTCGCTATTCTTCCAATTGTGAATTTCCAACATATTTTTTTCTCCTAACTCTGCATTCTGCAACATACCTCTACCTATATACCTACCTTCTCTCGACAAACTGCTTTTTTAAATCGCTACCCTCTTCGTTTAAGATGCAATAACTTATAGGTATGGACCACCTAAGATTCCATGTCATAATTTTGGGGGGGTCATGGCGAAGAATGATTGATACAAAATGACACATGGCCACACACGGTATTTAATTTTTGTATCTAAATCAGGAATGGGAGAGGAAGATGTTTTCCACATTTACCAACATTAAGGATTTATGGTAATTCATGCAAATTATTTGCTATGGTTGGAACACGTGAGGAACTCTGACAAGAACACATTCCATTGTAGAATACGTTTGCCTTGAATTTAAGATTTTTGTATTTCTCTCATCAGTTACCTCGTTAGTTACTACTTTTACTGCTTTTAATTCTCTTTAAAAAGATTTTAAGTAGGTAACTTTAGGCGGAATATTAGTATTATAATGTATATACATTATTAGAAAATTCTATGCCCTACGACGTATGACAACTTGAAAGCTCTCACCTTCACGTGCACGTTTACAGGAATGTTTTAGCACACACATCACACATCCACTACGATATTAAATTTTTTTTTGTATTTGATGTGAGTTTTGATGAGCGCTATTCACTTTATTACTGTCCTAATTGTATATCTACGTAATATTATTTCTTACATGTTCCAACAACTTGGTTGGATAACGATCTAATAGTTTATAGTATGGTCATGTGATCAAATTACATTTATTTGCATATACACTATTTTTTACAAATTATTGCACAGTTATAACATCGACGAATCTTGTATCCTTTTAAAGTCTATTTCACTATCACAATATATCATGTGCGTATGTATTTTTTTTTCTTATTAAGTAAGTTTTTAATTATTATTTTAACGTTTCAGGAGTTCCATTTACTTCGTCATCGACACCTACAGCAAGATGCTTCCGAAGTTTTTACGATTGGTTTTCCAATGTCATTGAAATTGTTCCTTTGGCATTGCTGACATCCGGTATATTGAGTGCATATCAGATAGACGAAAGGATTCGTATGCTGCTATTGTTTCTTGGTACAGTACCGATATTTTTTCCACTAGCAATAAAACAGAAGGAAAGCCAAATCAGGAAACTGCGTTTTTTTACCAATATTACTGTCGTGCTGCAAATACTGGCGATAATGATACTCGGCTTGAAAAACGGCAATTATAATGTCATTAGTTTAGTTGCTTCCTATACTTTTGAACGTTTCTTCGTGGAGGAATTTTGTTATCGGTACAGTATACCGTATACCGATTTGATGCAGTATTGCATATGCTTTGTGGAAGTCTTCACAGTATCAACGCTCAAGGAATTGTAAGAATTATGAGACTTGAACTTTTTACTATTCATCTATCGCCTATATTTCAGGCGACTGTCATTCGAGGTTCAACACACTGTTCGATTATACTTGATATAAAAAATGTCAATTTTAAAAATGGTATAAAAAAATCTGTGCCATTATAGTTATAACATTGGTTGTCTTGCAACAATTGTTCGATAAATAGATTATCCCTATGATACACAAGGATAGCGTCAATTTTGCTATCAGCTTGCAAATTAATTGACATAAGTCGGAACAGAAATTTTCCTATGTATTTTATATGTGTCAGAAAGTACTGCCAATTTTCAAAGCGAGATATAAATTACAATACAATGCAATATAATATGCGAAAATTATCTTTTTTTTTTATCTCTTTTTTATATTTATTTTTATATAGTAGGTAAATAAAATTTGTAATTTTTTTGTAACAATTTGTTACATTTTATACGATATAATTAAGTTTTAGCGAAAAAAGAACAGCACTGAACTTTCTGACACAGTTAATATAGTTAATTAATAAACAATTCCAAGTGTTGCCAATAATCTTGGATTTACCGAGACCGCTCTTTTAATGGACAAATTAAAAAAGCGCACGATAAATTGTGCATGAATTCAATTTGTATAGTCGACTTTTTTACTTATAAGATTTGTTTATATAAAAAGATAATCGATTTGATCGGCCTATTTAAATACTACAGATACACAAACAAATGATTACAAGTATGATCTTTTCATAAGTAATAACGACTGATGCTGATTTGTTTGACTTTAATATTAATATCAGTAATGTGAAGACTGTTTGTTATCTTGACTTATTATTTAGGCAATTTTTTGTCTAGAACAACTAGAACTAGAACTTATAAGAAAATGACCTGTCCCGATAACGACGCCATTAAAGTACAATTGTTCAACAAAATAATTGCTCCAATTTCAAGACTTACGTACTGCAATTTAAATTTACTGTATATCAGGATTGTACATCAGGATATTTTGTCTATCATATTTTGATATGTGATCTATATGATAATTATTTTCTCCCGCAAAATTTTGCTATGAATTTACTGGAAATGTACATCGCATTTTTTAAATATAAACTTTTTCTTACAAACTTTATCGTGTTTATTCATTCAATATTATCACGATTCTAAAAAATGTCTTCAATATAAGAATTCTTTATCGATATCATAAATTACTGCACATACAAGCACATTGAAGTCCATATGTTTAATGTTGAATAAATGTAACCATTATCATCACGTTTGTGTTATCGAGAAGCTGTCCTTGATCTAACGAATGTATTTCGTATAATATGGTAGAAAAATTCAACGATTTTCCATGAAAATCTTCGTATTCGTGGAACAGAGTGGAATATAGTCGAGATGATTTTAGAAGCGACTTTTACTTGTCTATGTGCCTATTTATTCTTAGCTGTTTCTAGCATCTTCATACTTCGAAGCTATTCGTACAATCGGTATTCACCTTATTATTCACCTTATACATATTATACGTATGTGTATTATAGGCACGCTTATGACACGCTATCGGTATAACTAAAGCTCATTTATTTGGAGTCTAAGTGATACGAAATTTTCACGTGTTAAAACATATAGCAAATTTATTGCATAATAAATAATTTATTATCAGATATTTTAGTGACGCGACTTTTTTGTTTGTGCTTTTTTATACGATTCCATTTCTTTGGTAATTTTCTATCTTTCAGTTTTGGGTCCATTGTAAATGCTAGGATCCTTAGCAAAAGTAGCGAAGCTAAAGATATCGATATATTTTATATTCTCATATTATATTGTTTTATATTTTTATATTTTTCACTATATCGATTCCATTTCAGTGTTGCATATGCGACATATTATTACTCGAGCCAATAATAATCTATCTCGATTCACTAATATTCCGATATTCGGATAATTAATTCATCAAATTATCTGATTACTCAAATTCGGTTACTCATATTCGAACGATCTCAATGATTTGGGTTGTTAATATTTGAAGGGTCGAATTTATTAACGGTTTCAAATCATCCGTTACAAAAGATAGAACGGAAAATTAATTGCTCAGCTTTAGAGTTAGGCTATATCTTATAGCTATTCCCCCGTTTCTTCCATTCAGCTATTCCTGGCTCTGAAGGAATATTTTCCACAGCGGAAAATGTTACGTCCAAAGAAATTATCTATCATCATAAATGCATAGTTTTCGTAAAACTAAGAGGTTTCAACACCCTGTATATGTGTTATCGCGTATTTTCATTACTTATTTATTCATTATATTTATATTTACTTTTATAGCTATAATTATTTGAGAGAGAAAGAGAAAAAATATGTCAAAATTTTACAAGTGCAAAAATTTCTCTAGATTGACTGCTCGGAATAATTCAGCGATCTAATTTAGCGACCCAATATTGTTGACATCATGTGGGGCAGTTTTATCAAAGCTGGGCGATATAAAACGAGCGATTAATGGCTATAACGTGACAACAAGCTACCCAGATAATAAAACATGAGTGTGCAAAATCGCGCAAATTATTGCTGAAAACAATTTATGTATTGTTATCACAAACACGAGTCAGATCCATTTAGGATTCATATTTATGGTGTTTTTGCAGTAAAGATGTGTAAATTGTTGTTACTAACTATATTTAAATTGTTTCTGTCAATAATGTGTAAACAATTAAAACAATATATATATATAGCAATGGAGCCTCCCCGAGTTCCGGGGGTAAACTGTTGCTGCAAAAATGTATCGGATATTAAATAAACCATTGCTTGAAACAAATTCAATACTGGTTGCTGAGCATTTGCAGACGCAGCTTTACACGTTATTTGCTCAAACACTCGTCACGATCGTTTACGCACACATTTCGTAAATATGACAGACGCTTTGCTATCTGGGTATATTTCAGTGAATGAAAACTCGAGCCTCATAAAATTCGAATCATATTTATTGACATAGAGAGAGCTAATAAATACTGTTACGACAATAGTAATTAAACGCGGTAACGATATCATTCTACTGTACTGTAGGAGGAACTATGGGGAGAGTTGACTCTAAAAGAGAGGTTTATTCACCCAACTTTATTCTTTTAAAAAAGGCGGGTGAACTTATATAACAAAGATATTTTGAATACATCAATTTTATAATATACTAGGGTGGGTCAACCCTCCCCAGTTTCCCCTAAAAGATGAAACATTTTAATTCTTAGAAATGTCCGCGCGCGTGACGTTGGGATTGAGAAATTCCGTTAATTTGGGCCGAGTTGAAATTGCATCGTAAAATTTGGCACGATAGTGCAATAGCCATCGGATTTATTTATCTCGGTCGGCGACGCGTGGTTACACCAAAAATATTTCTAATAAGACTATTTAGCGTGCGTCACGCGCGGTAGTAATGGCTCACGGCTCACGGGCGCGATAATATTGTCATAACGAGTAATTTGTTTTTGAAGATGTAAATGAATATGCCATATGTATGCTCTCCGCCGATCAGCAGCTTCCGATTGATAATAATCTCGGCGATCGGGCAACGGGGTAACAGATGAGGAAATATCTCCGGTTTTTTTCCCCTCGTCTGGAAGATGCGCGAACGGTGATGAATCGTTCGCGTGAGGCCGCCGCGCCGCGTCGGAGCGGAGGCGCGAGAGAAGGAGCGGCCCGATATATTTTTACATCGTTCCGGCTGCATGTTAGATATATAGAGTCGCGTTGTAACGGTTTGCAACTACGAGCCACGAGTACGCGTAGGCAGCAGCCTAAGAACGGCAATACGTTGCCCCATTTCAAACTTGGAATATCATCCGACGCCGACGGACGATTTCACGGCGCGCGGCGCCGCGGCGGGATGGTCCGATTCGAGCGAGGCCAATTTTCGTTTCTGTTTTAGCGCGAATATATACCGCTTGGAATTATTCTATTTGTCTATATTTATCACGCGGATATAAAAATATCACTGTATAGTTACGTAAATGCCGTACAGTTACGACAATTTTTCTCTTTCTCTCTTTTTCCTCATGTACGGACGTAGGTACGAATTCATTCATAGATTCGCACACTTCCAATACGCGCTAATGTCCTACGTGTATCGTTCGCCTGACGATAATCTGGCATTTTAAAGATCGCCCGCGAAGCTTCAACCGCGTCAACAGGCGGATATAATTATTGGAATGTGACGATTTTTCGCAAACTTTGATCTTATATAATAACAACATATATCTCAGACAGCACGCATGTCCAAAATCCAAATGCAAACTCCATCGGGACATATGACGTGCTGTCAACGATGTTTCATCGCTAAATAAATGCCGTGTAGGATTATAGAAAAGATCCCCGACGTACAAGGCATAGCAAGGGCTATATCTTTACGATAAAAATGTTTCGTCGTAACGTTCGGTGAATGCCAATTTTCCCTCTAGCACGAAATCTGTTAGCGGTAATTGCGCGATATAACAGCGTTTGTACATACGACCTTCACATAAATGACAACGCGGATGAGAGGCCGTGGTATTCACTTATAACATATTTCATTTTTCGTCGGCGTCGCCGCTCTATTTTTGCGTGCGTCGTCTTTCTAGCTGGTTTAGCAAATGCGGAGAGGAAGTCTTTATACTGGGACGGAAGAACCAATTCTCTTCAAGTCCGCCGTTCGTTCTCCATCGTGCGCCACTCTGGTGGTTTGCCTAATACGGTGTAAAAGTTCTCTGGTTTATAACCATCATGGTAAGAATATTAAAGAGATAATCTCGGTTTGGCGAAAAAAGAAACCTGTGATTTAAATACTCGATTCGTAGGAAAAGACTATAAATTCCACATTTTTTAGAAAGCAATACGTAAAACGCTGTCTTATAGGTGCTACTTATAAGAAAAGTATTTAAAAATCACCGTAAAGAAATTTAGATAATATACCTCAAAATTGTTAGGATTTTTGTTTTCTTTTATTTTTTTATTTTTATTATAAATGAAAGTAAACTCGAGATTCTCTCCCTTGGACATTCACAGGAGGACGATGATCAAAAAGTGGCTGTGATGCGTAAGGCGTTCCAAATGTTCGACACAACGAAAAGTGGTTTCATCGAGACTATGAAAATCTCAACGATACTAAATACAATGGGACAACTATTTGACGATGGCGAATTAAAAACCGTGATCGAGGAAAATGATCCCGAAGGTGTCGGCAAAGTGAATTTTGACGGTTTTTGCAAGATCGCCGGGCGGTTTCTCGAAGAGGAGGATGCGGAGGCGATGCAGGAGGAACTGAAGGAAGCGTTTCGATTATACGATCGCGAAGGTAACGGATACATTACCACGGCTACGTTGAAAGAGATTTTAGCGGCGCTCGACGATAAACTTACTAGTTCCGATCTCGATGGAATAATCGCGGAGATTGACACGGATGGTTCCGGTACGGTAGATTTTGACGGTACGTGTAATATATCATACAATACAGTAGTATAGATTAGAATATAACAATATATTATATAATTAATGTGTCTTTTATAAGACACTCCAGATAGAACAGAAAGTGATAATGATGATGGCAAAATGACCTAAAAATCATTATTTTGCCAACATTTTGACATTATTTTGACTTTATTGTGACTATAGCTGTTCTATCTGAAACATTGCTTGTAAAATATATATGTATATGTAATATAAAAAAATAGTTATAATACATATATATATATATATATATATGTATTATAGTTATAATACATATTTATATATATATATATATACCTTAATATTATATAAAACTTATTATTGAAATGAGCTATTTTATTTATCATTTATTTTGGAATTATTAATGGAAAAACTCAAACCTGTTTATAGAATTTATGGAAATGATGACTGGAGAATGATTGTACATGAAAACGATGACGGCTTTACATCGCTCGAAGAGGATCGCTAAGAAGACAATAAACTAATTTCTTAATAAAATAATATTTGTGCAAAAGACCGTGAATTTTATTATCATTAGTTAATCTTGACTTGTACGTGTATTATAATAGGTAGGACATTCGAGGAAGCGCATAAGGAAAATAGGTACATAGAAAGAGGAACATTGCGTTATAAGTAAATATATTCAGAAATTTGCGTTTTAGGGCAATTTATTAATTGCATTTGCTACAATAAACTGACAAATCTTTTTTTTTACATTGGATGAAAAAATAGCTTTTGGTCAAGCATCGTAATATCTAACGATATCATACATCTATTATATCTGATTTATAGGAACATTTCACTGATATTGCACTTCGTTGGTGGGCTGGCCTTCATGCTGAATGTGGACGGTTTGAACATAGAGATTAGGCACGGAAAGGGCACCGGGGGTCAAGGGTCTGTCCAACGGGTAGCCAAGAGGTTTACCGTCGAGAGAGATAGCTCCACCGATGATTTCAGAGATGTGCTTATTCTGATAATATTGGCTGACGGACGCGTCCTGAGTTTTTTGTCCTTGACTTTGACCCAGGATGTTTTGGAAACCACCGGCGTGATATTGGCCGCTACCGGTATATCCTACACCCAATCCTTGCTGTTGTTGGCTCTGTCCTTGATAGGTAACGGGGTATTTGCCCTGGATTCCATGCTGAATACCACTCTGGACGCCTTGGTTTCCCTGGGAGTATTGCGCACCTTGGACACCTTGTACACCTTGGATACCTTGTAAACCTTGTAAACCTTGTACACCTGACTGCACTCCTTGGATTCCATGGATACCCTGTTGCAAGCCATGTACACCAATTGGTACTCCACCTTGGACTCCTACTGTACTTTGTTGGCCGTGTTGATTCTGTCCCTGCTGTCCTTGGTAGATACCCTGATGTTGACTCCATTGTTGCTGTCCTTGGATGTTTTGTCCACGTTGTCCTTGTTGTCCCCATTGTCCCTGTTGTCCATGCTGGCCTTGCACACCGTAGACGTTATATCCCTGTCCTTGACCTACTTGGTACTGAGAGTGCGTGTACGGGTACTGTCCGTGTTGTTGAGTGTAGAGGTTAGCAACATGGTTCCTTACAACTGTAAAGAAGAAATTGTTTATTTTTTTTATACTATTCAATAGCAAGAGGCCTTGTCTCTCTGATATCGATATAGCGTACCTTGATTCTGTTGCTGATTGATCGGCAGAGTTTCTGGTACAACCTCCACAGTCTGTTTCACACCGACTACTTTGCCAGCTTGGTGCTGGATCTGTTGATAATCCTCGGTACCAACTACTTGATATTGGCTTTGTTGGTAGGTCTGATATTGTTCTGGGACCACCGGTCCGTAGGGCACGTTTTGTTGTCCCGGTTGAGAGATCACAACCAACAGCTGAACGGGGAGTCCTTGACCTTGTTGACCCTTGGGAAGAGCCAGCCTAGCTGGGAAACCGAATAGCTGCTGTGGCTGAAAAAATATTAACGTTTAGTCTTGCATCACTCATCGAAATAATCGTCGATGCAAAACATCTATACAAAATAGAAAGAGAGAAAAATAATTACCTGGGTGATATAGTATGGTTCTTGGGCATTAATAGCATTGTTGACACCCTGTTGAATTTCCTGAACAGACGGCCAGTCGTGGCTCTGGCCTGGTGCCTGCTGGGATTGTCTAACGATGACATTCTGTCCTTGTTGAACTGTAAAACAAAGATATTAGACAATTTAATTGTTTAATAAAAAAATCAATGAATGTGCGTGTGTGTGTGTGTGTGTGTGTGTGTGTGTGAGAGAGACGTTGTATGTATGTACGGTGGATAACCATGCAATCGAGTACATACGGTTAGTTATGAATTGGTCAAGTTCGACGAATTGGTGCCTGTGTTGAGAAATGCTGATGGGTTTGCCATTATAGTCGTATTTCGGTCCCAAGTAGACGCGGACAACGGCATCAGGGACGTTCTGCTCGCTCTGAACAGTGATCTGGTATTCGTAGGGTTTGTGGTCTAATCTCTTCACTTGCGCTTGGATGTGTTGTTGCTGTTGTTGTTGATGCTGCTGTTGCTGTTGCTGAAGCTGTTGTTGTTGTTGTTGTTGTTGGACTTGCTGTTGTTGACCGACTTGTTGTTGTTGGCCGACTTGCTGCTGTGTAACTGCATCGAGATCAACATAGTAATTGTTGAAGAGAGTTACCAGTGGGCTGATTTGAACGTCCTGGATGCTGACGCCAGGCAAGAGGATGTCGTTATATTGGTACGCGGGCAAAGAGTTTTGGTATTGTTTGAACAGTTGAATAACGTTCTGGTAAAGCTGATAGAAAGCTGGGTCGCGAACAGCAACTTGTCCCAATTCGAGAACGGAAGGAGTGTAATCGTAGATATTCTGTGCTTCGGGAGCATTGCCGAGAAGTTGACGCGCGGCGGCTTGAAGACTGCCGTAGTATCTGCGGTAGAAAATTTATTGTCATAAGTATTGCGATATTAGTAAGTTATACTGATATTGATCAGTCAAATAATCAATTGATGATTAACCTTGGGTTAACACTTCTGCCGGTTCCTTGAATAAGTTCTCCAAGAATGTTCAAACCTTGCGGCTGATAAAGAGAGAGGAAGGCGGCTTGCGGAGTGATGACATGTCCAGAATCAATAGCTTCGATCAATCTTTGTTCAATCTTCCTGACAGTCTGGATAAGTTTGTCGTTTTTAGGGCTGAGCTGCAGATTCTGAGGGCGTCCAGGGAATTCGAGTCCGTTTGTGTGACGGAGGTGCGGTTGATACGGTGCTTGTACGTTGTCGTAGTCGATGTCCTGGATTGGACCCAATCCGTTCGAGAGACGGTTCAGTTCGTAATGAGCCAGCAGTTGTTGGTGAAGATAATAGTAAATAGATCCCTGACCAATTTGACTTTCCTGATTCTGAATGCCTTGTTGTTGCGCAGGCGTTTGCTGACCGTGCTAGTGTTATATATTTAAAGAATGTTTAATATATATACATAAAACGCGAATTTCAATGAAACAAATTATAAATATATATATTTTTCTTTTTATATGAGAAATTGTTTTTATTTATATTTAAATGATGCACGCTTACCGGCAACAAATATCCAGCGAGATTCACGAGGCCGTAGTAGTTGGCGAGGCCGACGTCTTGCGTGAAGTAAGAAAGTTGTTGTTCACTGTTGGACAATTGGGCGGAATAGTTAACAGGAATTACAACTTGGTTGTAGCCTTGTGCAACACCTTGTGAAACACCTTGTATAGCAATGTTCTGGGCTTCTTGGATAATCCTAGCATCAAAATAATGCTGAGGAATGATTTCGTACAGAGGCGGCAGAACGACACCCTGCGTCTCCGGATGCTGAAGAACGGCTCCAATGAAAGCCTTGAGGAATTGTTGTTCATTAACGTGAACGCGGGCCCATGCGGCGGTTGCCAGTAACGTCGGGTAGTTCTTAGTGCCTAATAAGATTCTGTGCAGGAGGGAAACTTCCTTGCGAAGCTGGCTGATGGAACTCGAATAGGCAGTGCCTTTTGGCTGAACCAAACCGGCCTGTACAGCGCCAACATAGTATTGGACAAGAATCGGATTTTCATATTGTTGGATGTTGTTTTGGATGTCATAGGTGGTACCAAGGATCTGCAGCTGCTCGTTTGGGATTTCTTGAGTAATCTGTTGTAGCAACAGTATAACGTCTTGTTGCTTCTTCAGAAGATCTTGATCAGCTAAAGAAAAGTAAAGAAATGATCACATGCAATCGCATTCCTCGATTTGAGTTCAATATAAACATTAATATTGACTCTATTAGACAAGTATTTATTATATGTATATTACATGTATAAAGCTTAATAGTCTAAATCATATGAAAAGTATAGAAACGCAAAAGTATAGAAAAGCGGCAGTAATTTTTTTCTCAAGTAGGTATTTACGAGGATTATTATACAGTGTCCTTTAATCGCGAGAAATAAGGAGAGATATAGAAAAAGAAGAGAAAAAGAGAGGGCTATAGAGAGAACATAAAGGTAACCGGATGGAACAGCGATCACTTACCAGCCTGTTGTTTCTGCTGCTGTTGCTGTTGCTGTTGCTGGGGTAGAGCCGCCCCAAAAGCTGCCAGAGCCAGTAGAACGATCGCGCACTTCATTGTGATGCCGTTAATGCCGTTTGCCGCATGCTGTCTACCGAGCGGTGCGGGTCTTTTATACCAAAATCGTATCGAACAAAGACATTATCGGCGACCTGTTGACCTACCACCGTGCAAGATTTCGCTGTCTACACGCGATATCCCTTGTTATTTCGGATGGATCGAAGTTAATCGAAGGTTATAATGATAAAAATTCTTTTGAGCAAGACAAAGTTGCATCACCAATTATATGGGGTCAGAGCTTTGTACCTTTATTTTTGGCAATTTCTTTCTCTTTAATTCTATACCGTTAGTATAACAAACATTTGTATGTAAATATCACTTTTTTAGTTGTATATAAACATAAGTTTGCCTTTGAGCTGGGTTATTTTTCTATTCTCCTGTGAAAGTGAAATCTCACTTCATTAAAACAAAAGCGAGATATAAATATAAATGATTCCGAGAGACTCTCGTCTGTTTGTATAAATATTTTGGAAATCTTATTTAAATATACGTATTTTTAATATATGATTGAACAAAATCTTTGAACAAAAATAAAAATAAATTAATTCAAATCAATTTCGAGAAATTTACTTTTCTTCTTGCAATTTTCTGTAATTAAAAACACAGAGTACCTTACACAATTAAATAATTTTGAATAATAAGAATTAATTTTTTTTATCTTCCGATGTCTCGTAACAATTAAAACAAATAAATTGCAAATAAAAAAGGTATTATACAAAGTAATTCCATAAGTCCTGTAAAGTCCCCCGCAATCGCCAGTTTCGTAAATGAGATATTTATAGCTTCACACAATGAACTGCTATCAATTCCTTTTAATTGTTCTATTCTTGGCTGGGAAGCGATGCCATTAAATGTCATCAAATAAATTGCTGTATCGATACAAGACATAACATAGATAATATAAAACTGCATAAATTTGCACATTTATCAATTATAATACTCTGCAGCTCGGCACAATTAAGCTTCATCTTTTATTAAGATATATAAGAGACTCAATGTACTTAAATTGCAAAACATCTATCATATTTATGAAATATGTCCGCAAACTCGTGACGAGTGCACAAATAATTATATGTAAAGCTGCGTTCGCAAATGCCCAGCAATAGTACTGAATTTGCTTCAAACAACGGTTTATTCAATATTTGTTACACTTTTCCAGCAACACGTCCGGAGGTTCCATTGGTGTACACTCTACATTGCAGTTTACAATGTTTACATTATTGATAGAAATAATTAACTTACATATCTTTGCTGTAAAAGCACCATAAGTATGAATCCTAGACGATCTACGATTCATGTTTATGCAATAATGTTTGAGGCATACATAAATTGTTTTCAGCAATATATGGAGGGGTAAAAACCAGAGTGGTGTAAGTCAAATTTTTTTAAATATTTTCTCGTGTGCATAGATGCAATCTGTACAATATAGATAGAATAAAGATAGAATGATGCAATAGCGCTAATAGCGCGCTCCCCGAATGCAGCCATAAATTGCATTTATGCACACGAGAAAATATTTAAACAAATTTGACTTACATCACTCTGGTTTTTACCCCCTCACATATGTTCACATGATTTTGCACATTCATGCTTTGCTATCAGAGGGTAAGAAGATCAAATCTGTAAATTTTATAGTTTATAATTATATATCAATTCTGTTATTTATATAAATAAAAAGTAAATATTACATTTAATTAGTTATTAGAATGTTTAAACAATATCTGTAGTAAATAATTTGACAACTGAAACATATGACTATATTTGTTACTTCACGTGCTTTTTATCTGTGCTTCAAACTTTCCATACGTCAATATTTGATAATCGCGGCTATTATCTCGTATATATAGTCTGACGTAATTCGTGTGTTATTGATTATTTTATATTGCATTCTAATTTCTTTAAAGTACATACAAATTTTTTATAATATTCTGTTGGATATATCACATAAAATCTTGAGAAAAATGGAAAATATTATTTGTTATAATTTTTATATAGTTATATAACTATAATAAAATTGCCATGATTTTGACTTATCAAGTAAGTAAGCTCGCACATGTATATATACGCATTTGCCATACATAGCTGCAGCACATAATAAAATATAACAATTAAATAGATAATTAAACAAATTAGAAACTTGCACATTATTGCTTTCTCATCATTTTTTTCGCTCATATAAAGCTTCCGCTATGAGGAATTAGCAAAATTATTAGCATATAGATAATATATTGGCTTCCTCATGTTCTCACATTTTTATGAGCAAAAGAAAATGGTGAGGGAGCAATATGCAAGTTACTGATTTGCACACTTTTTTATTTTTATATAACCTTCACAGGAAACAGAGAAAAAATAAACTTAATTTAAATAAAAATTTGCCATTTTCTCAATATATTATATTGTTTAATATATAATTGATATCAATATATTAGTTGGTGACCCACCTAGGATATTACAAAATATTTATTAAAAAAAAAATTTACATTTAAAAAAATTTTTTTAATTCAAAATTTCATAAAAAATAAACCCTTTCATCAATTCTCATCAAAATCAAAACCAACCATTCTTCAATGATACTCTATTCATTAAAAAAAATTAGCCCGATATCTCAAAATTTGCGGAAGTTAGAAGTTCCATAGATATTTTTTAAAAAATTTAAACTTTTTTAAAATTTAAAACACTGTATGAATTTATATAAAAATGACAGTAAAGTGTTGTACTACCTTACTTATGTGCCAAAATGCAGCGCTGTAGCTTAAGGGGGAATATACACCTAAATATACCATAAAATCGGCTACATCACGCCAAAGATAATAGTATTTATTTTTAAGATCGATACGTTGAGTTCAAGCGTCCGCCATTTTGTAAAAAATCAATATTTTTAAAATCGGCTACGTCACGCCAAAGATAATAGTATCTATTTTCATTTCCTGTTTGATTTTTTTGTTTTAGATGATTTTTGACAAAGCGCCGCTGGGTACCGTCTTTTTTTACGGCACTCCGTAGACGACTCCAGTACTCCGTGAATTTGCAACATTTTTTAATAAAAAAAAATTTGCAAGATTCTTGAAAGTGTGTATTTTTAACTAGAAAACACCCCGGCCCGACAATTCCAATAGTTCCCCTGAAAAAAATTCCCGAAAATTACCTTTTTTTTTCGTTTCTAGGTGTATATTCCCCCTTAAGCAGTTCTTAAGTTATAAACATTTAAAATTTCGGAAATCCGTACACACACACACACACACACACACACACATATACATTATACGGGGCATTTTTAAAAGTGCAATTTTTCGAACGTTTTAGAACATTTTGAACACATCGGCATAAAAAAAAAATACGAAAACGGAGCTTTCTCTATGAGAAAGCAAAATTATATTATATAGTTTATAAACTGAAATTTAAATATTGAATACAAAATCAATATAAAAATTAGTTAAAAATTACATAAATTGTAATAAAAATGATAAATTAAATTATATAAATTCTATGTTTGTAAAAGTATTCAAATCTATGTTATTTAAAAAATAATAAAATAATTTTTAGCACGCTATTAATAAATTGAATGCAAATGCAAATGAAATTTCAAATGTATAAAAGCCAATGTACGAAGAAAATATTTTATGGAAAGTTACTTTTTAATAAACATAAATAAGTTTTTGAGACACTGCTACATTAATTTCTATCCATAAAAATACACCATGTTTTTATACGTAAGTATAATCAGATTTTTAAATAAATATTCTTCTTTTTTAAATTTTGCAGCAATAACTTGATAATTTTATCAAATTTTATTTCTATTTTTAAAAGAGAGATGAGCATTTTAAATATCATCATTAAGTATTAATTTTCTAAACCATATATATTTTAAATTTAAAAATATATAATCTGAACTGTTATTTTTATTACAATTTCATTTATCATTTTTTAAGGTATACTTATATATGTATACATAAAGAGCACACTTAAAGATTACAAGCAATACTGAGTTATCGGGTTATCTATATTTGCTTTTCCTTTGCAACGATATATAGTTGTGATAAACTTCAACAGACTGTTGTGCGCGCGCGCACAAACACACACACACACACACACACACACACAAATAAATAATAATAATATACAATTATGTACATACATAATATATATATATATTATACATATAGCATATCTGTATATATGCAGTTATATTATATGTCTCATGATGTCTCATTGTATCTGTGCACTCCAGATATTTCAATTGTTTTTTGCTTTAGAAAAAGTATTTAAAATTAATATTTTACAAACTACAATATTTTGTAATTGTTAGATGGACTTTTCCGTGTGATCTATCTTGAAACAAAAAATCTCTGAATTAAGTTTGCTTTAACAGATTTGAAATTTTTGTGTAGTCTTGGAATATGTATATAATAGGTGCGCTTTCCATTTACATCAAAGCTCAGATAAATCTCACTTCTGTCTTTCTTTAACATATGAATGTTGAAGAAAGACAGAAGTGAGATTTATCTGAGTTTTGATGTAAATGGAAAGCATCTATAATAATATCTTACCATGTGTGAAATTGCAAAACGATTTACCGTCGCGTGCGTTTCTGAGATATTCGCTTTAAAAGTTACAGAAATTGTATATATAGCTATATATATATATCCTGATGTATCCTACTCCCCACATGTAAATATCATATTATATATCTCTGCTTCTGCACGGTAAAAGTGAATGAAATTTTTATGGTACACTTCTGTGACATCGAAAACTACAATCACGGTTTTATAAATTTTTAATATGGATTTTTTTTTCAATTTTTAAATAATTTATTTAAACAATATCAAGTATAAAAAATAGAACAAATAAGCGATTTCTCTGCTTTTTCTGTCCCAATAATAACATATTTATGAATAAATTCTAAATAACACGCTCGTGTGTATATAACAAAAATCAAGAGTAAATACGGCCACTGACGAGTAATAACAAATAATATAATTCAAAATTAATATCTTAACATTTTATTTGGAACTCGTGCAATATCATTTATTGATT